TATCTATCTATCTATCTATCTATCTATCTATCTATCTATCTATCTATCTATCTATCTATCTCCACACCACAAGCCAGGCAAATATCTGTTTACAAACAGACCCCCGATACCTCCAGCTCAAACACACCCTAACCAGGCACCCAGATGAAACCTAGCTTCCTAATAAATGATAGCTGTCCATTTACTCGGAGCCAAGCCGCACTAAAAGCCTCCAATACAGGAAACACAATGTTGCCAGCCAATCAAGACAAAAGAAAGCTACAAAACAGACAGAAGATATTAGAAACACCAATCAAGCAGAACACAGCAAACTCCAAGACCAATGAACACAGTGAACACAGGCCAAAACTCCCAACCAATCAGGATGAAGAAAAAACCATTCTGGCACAGCAGTAGGCTAGCACCAAATTTAAAACAGAAACGGCTGTGAAAACCTGACTCACAGATGAACACAATACAGAAGCGTGATGATGGCAGATGAGATTCTGCCGAAACGTTGCTACAACTTTAAAAGCACAACTACAATGATGTGGGAAAATACCCGAACAAAGCTGAATGCTATATATATCGACTTATAAAACACTATACAGAAGCCTGATAATGGCAGATGAGATTCTGCCGAAACGTTGCTACAACTTTAAAAGCACAACTATCATGATGTGGGAAAATACCCAAACAAAGCTGAATACCATATGTGTATGTATATATGTATGTATGTATGTATGTATGCATGCATGCATGCATGTATGGTATTCAGCTTTGTTTGGGTATTTTCCCACATCATTGTAGTTGGGCTTTTAAAGTTGTAGCAACGTTTCGGCAGAATCTCATCTGCCATCATCAGGCTTCTGTATTGTGTTCATCTGTGAGTCAGACTTTTACAGTGGTTTCAGATTTAAATTTGGGGCACCTGTTGCTGTGCCAGAATTGTTTTTTCTTCATCCTGATTGGTTGGGAGTCTTGGTCTGTGTTTATTATATCCTATCCATATAATAGGAACAGTTGGAGTTGAGTGGGATGCAAATTTGATAAATAAATTTGGTGTGGGAGGGAAAAGAAAACAAGGACACATAGACATAATTCCTAATGTGATCTGGATCCTGTTGCTATGTTGGAAATTGTCTTTGCTAATTATTATGAATAAAAAAAGAAGCTGTATTCAGTTCTATGTAACCAAAGGTTAATACTAAAGCTTATTGTGGAAATAGGATGTTTTAATTGAGAAAAAGATAGAATAATAAATGACAAGAAAAGAGGTACATACAGTTATTCATGATACTGGCATATTATAGAGGGAAAATACTAGGCATCTTGACTAGTGAAAATGTTAGTGAACAGCCAATGCAACACACACAGAAGGAAAACAACCACAATACACCTAACTGATCTTTCCCCTTACAATAGAAATGGTAATGAAGATTTAATAGCTGACCAGCTGCTGTAAGGCAGTAAGCCAAAATGATGAACTGAGAGTGAGTCAGCAAGTTACTGCCGCTTTAAGAAGCTGTCTATGTAAGGGAGGCCATGTGAGAGCATCTCTCTCTCTCCTCCTATTCTATCTCCATTGTAGTTTTCCATGTAGAATTGAAGATTGATTGATTACCTGGTATTTGGCTAACACCTGTATGTATAGCCTGGTATTTGCCTAACACCTATATATAGTAGTCTTGTATATAAACCACTATTAAAAGACAAAGCCTCTGTGTCCTGTGTTTTGCTCCTGAGTTGTCTCACAATAGTCGGCATGCTGTAAATACTCTGACAGAAACTTTTCTCAAAGTCAGTAGGAAACTTCTTTTTCCATTATTGCCTCTTGTATTTCCTTCCTTCCCACTGATAAGGATTCCTACAGAAATCTTGTTTCCTCAACCCGATCTTTGATTGAGACCTTCACCCTTTTGATCCTATTCGAGAGGAAGCTTAACTTTTTCGAGACTGTGTGCAATTAAGAACTTCCAACAATTTCTGACTTCTTCCTCCAATAATGTCTTTGTGTTCTGCTTATGGATTTCCAATATATATTCCTGTAGTCAATGATGGGCTAGATACCCCTTAGGGGTCATTAGTAGATTTCTTGGCATATTCTTATGTCAGTAAATATTAGACTGACTCCTGTTAATTTTGGATCATGTTATCTGCTTTTAATGTTTGAACTAATGCTAAAGAAAGATAATGCAGAGACATGTAACTATAATTGTTGGAAAGCAAAGATGGATAAAACTTTTAAGCTCCGAGCATTTTATTTGGAAGGGAAACTGAGGGGTGTAACTGGGATTCAAAAATCTAAAGTCTTTTAATCTTTTTAAAAGGACTAGGGTTTTTCTCCATCTCTTTTGAGTAGATAGTTGTCTTTGGCACAACTGCAAAAGCATTTTCTCTCTTCCCAAGTAATCGGTGTGCTCTAAACATATACACGGAATTACTTTGAATAAGTCAAAAGGCAACTTTAATTCTACCATGAGCCTGGAACAATCCATAAATAACTGCAAAGTTTTGGAATATTAAAGCTTAAAGTGCGGAAGAAATCATCTTGCACCAGCTTGAAGTGGAACAGCAAAATGCCTGGATGATATTTGTATAGACACATACATCTTTCTGCATCTCTTCTGTCTGTAGAAAAATGTTTGACCTATCACCTGGTGTTTTATAATTTCAGATTCAGGGAAAAGACTTGACAAAATCTGCTTCTTTGCAATACACTCAACTGCTGCCTTGTCTCTGTATTGAGGTAAACGTTTCCATATAAATTGATGTACAAGCTAGCTTAATATATAGGAATCTTTCAAATGCCCATTAACAGCTGTCTACGGGATTGGATCAACATACAAAAAAAATCAGCTGGTATTTTGATTATGCCATTGTGGCCACTATCTTGACAGTTTTGAGCACATCCTACAGACAGCTCTGAGATCATGGCTTAGGGGAGAGGGCTAATCCTAAACGGAAACTTCCCACCCATGACACACAGATAACAAAAATCTCAAAATGGTTTGCATTAGTATTACATCCAGTTTTCAATATTTAATCATTACAAAAAAAAAAATAGTGACATTCATTTTATTTAGATCTTTCCAGAGAGAGAACTGAGAGTTTTATTTTTGATGCATTCTTTCCTATTATACATTTATGTTATTTGGATTACTCCATAAGACACTTTAGGAGAAAGGCCACATTGAAAGTGTCATACAGGCAATATTTAATTGAAAAGCAATGTAAAACTTACAGTATTTGAACTAATGGATGCATATTTGAATTACAGGTATGGCCGGCAATTTTGGATGCACGAAGAGTGCAGTTGTGCCCATTCAAAAATGGCAAGTGAAATGTGCTTCTTTGCTTTTTCTGAATAATTCTGATCATGCAATTTCAGAAACATAATGGGTGGGAAGAATGTCACATGTAGCCCCCCCCCAATAATCTTTCACTTGAGTCATCTGAGTGGGTAGCATACACAAATTGTAGAGTAAACAACCCAATACATAAAACTGACTTCTTTTCTACAGTTGTGTTCTTACATTTGCTTGTTTATAAAAATTTTGGAGTGAGCTCAAGCAGAACCTGACTGTTTTTCTTATTTTTCTAATAATGGGAATAATTGCAAAAATCTCCGTATTTTGGTTGCTATTACAAATCAGGCACTTAACATTCACTTATCATTCTGATCTAATTGTAGGATGACCATGGATTCAGGTCAAATGACAGAATAGGCCATATTAGTATGATACCATAGGCCATGTAACGTCGATAGATAGATAGAGAGAGAGAGAGAGAGAGAGAGAGAGATAGATAGAGAGATAGGCAGAGATAGATTAGATGTAGATATATAGATATAGATATGTATGAAATAGCTCAATGTAAGAATGCATTTTGAGGTTTATCCTCTTCACCTGTACCACTGAACAGAACCACAGAATATTAACTTGAAAAACAATAAAACTATTGGTTATAAGCACCAGAAATTTTAAGTGGAACAGAAGAGGAAACAAGAAGGAATGACTAGTCTCTCTGTTCTGATGGTTTGTCCCAAGGGTGTGATTTTTATTTTATTTTTTATTTTATTTGTCAATTGCTTACAAGATAATAGGTATAAGTATAAACATAGTTATGAATACATGGATACATATAAGAAAAATAACAGAAACAATAGGACAGGGACAGTAGGCACATTGGTGCGCTTATGCACACCCCCTACAGACCTCTTAGGAAAGGGGTAAGGTCAATAGAAGAAACTCTAAGGTTACAGTTTTTGGGTTTTGGGGAAGAAACCACAGAGTCAGGTAGAGTATTCCAGACATTGACCACTCTGTTGCTGAAGTCGTATTTCCTCCAATAAAGTTTGGTGTGGTTTAGCTTGAGTTTGTATCTATTGTTTGCTCTTGTATTGTTATGGTTAAAGCTGAAGTATTCATTGACAGGTAGGACATTGCAATGTATGATTTTATGTACAATACTTAGATTGGACTGAAGGCGGCATAGTGCTAGGTTTTCTAGGTCTAGAATTTCAAGTCTGGTGGCATAAGGTATTCTGCAATGAGTAGAGGAGTGGAGAACTCTTCTTGTGAAATATTTCTGGACTTTCTCCACTGTTAATATCAGATATGTAATGTGAGTTCCAGACTGATGAGCTGTATTCAAGTATTGGTCTAGCAAATGTTTTATATGCTCTAGTTACAGTAGTAGTGTGATATTACCAGAGAAAAAGCTACGTAAGATTAGGTTAACAACTCTTAATGCCTTTTTGGCTATGTAGTTACAGTGGGGTCTAGCACTTAGATCATTTGAGATGAGTACTCCAAGGTCCTTGACAGAGTTTGGATCATCAACAAGGTCTTGACTATTCAGCTTATATTTTATTTTCTGATTTTTTTTTTGCCAATATGTAAGACAGAGCATTTATTTCTTGAGATTTGAAGTTGCCATTTGTTTAACCATTCTGATACATAGTCGAAGTCTTTTTGAAGGGTAGCAGAATTATCTGTGGTGTTGAATAGCTTTACATCATCAGAGAAGAGAACGCAGTTGCTCTTAATATGTTCACAGAGGTCATTTATGTAGAGTATAAAGAGAGTTGGTCCTAGAACACTGCCTTGGGGGACGCCACTGTTGACAGGTACAGAATTTGATAGGACGCTCCCAATTTTGACCATTTGTTGTCTGTTTGACAGGAATGCTTCTATCCAGTTATGCAGGTGTCCAGAGATACCATAAGATTTTAGTTTTAGGAGTAGTTTGTCGTGTACCACTGAATCAAAGGCTTTACAGAAGTCTATGTAGTTTGCATCTATTGCTTTGCCCTGATTGAGTTGTGTAGTCCATATGTTTTTGCAGTGTAAGAGTTGCAGATTACAGGATAGTTTTTTCCTGAAACCAAATTTTTTATTAGAGAGTAGGTTGTTTGTCTCTAAGTGGAGGATAATGGATTGGTTTATAATTGATTCCATTACTTTACAGGTGACACAGCATAAAGAGATTGGTCTGTAATTTTTAACTAGTCTGGGGTCTTCCTTTTTGAAGATGGGGATGACCGTGGCTTGTGACCATAGGTTTGGCAAGGATCTGATCCTGAAAGATTTTTCAAAGATTATGCTTAGAGGTTTGGCTATGGCAGTGGGTAGCTTTTTAAAGTAGTAGGCACATATTCCGTCCGGTCCAATAGATATGGATGGTTTCAGATTGCGTAGTGCTTTTTCAACATTGTCTTCTGTAAAATCAATATGTATTAGATCATTGTAGTTGTCTGTGGTTCAACTAGGAAGTACTGGGCTTGATTCATTGCTGTTTACAAATACTGAGCCAAAGAATGTGTTAAAGAGGTTGGCTTTAATGGTGTCATCGTTACAATCTTTACCATTAGGTCATTTCAGAGGTGGGATGGACCTTGAGTTTTTTAGTTTGTTGTTTACAAAATTGTAGAAAGTACGGTGGAATTGGTGCATAGGAGGTTTAATGTGATAAATGGTGCATTCAGTCTTTATCTGGTGGCATAAAATGATTCAAACAGTGTAACAACTGGTTCGGTGAGGACATGCATTGTGCATGCATAGTGCCTTTGTTACTGACCTTCTCCACAATCCCAGTGTGTTAAACAGTTGACTTGTGGCAATCTCCTCTGCCGCGCGAATCAGCTGAACTTGAAAAACAGGAGATAAAGCACAGCCTAGAGCCCTGGCAGGCAGGTGGGCCCAACAGCTGATCGTCTAAGCAAACCAATCCAGTTTGCTCCCAGCTGATCTTTGGAGCTACCGGTTCACCCAAACTGTACCGAACTGGTAGAATCCCAGCCGTGGTTTCTTCCCTTAGCCTAGCAGTACTATACCTGGGCTGTGAAAATCCTGATGACTACCAGATGGGAGCAAAGAGTTACAAAATGATGCCTCTTGACTGCTCTCTTGCGGTCATCAAGATTTATGCAGCGCTTATATGATACACTCACTTCAGGCTACCTTTTTGCTCACCGGATTAAAAACAAAAATACTGATCTTGTTTACCTTTCAAAAAAGCAAAGCAATAAGAATGAACTATTTCAAAAACAAAGTGTTTTGTGGAACTGAACGCAGGCCTTAAGAGAGGCAGATTGAAGAAGTATCATCATGGATGCTAAGTAAGAAATAACAGCAAGCGTTGAAAGGGTCCACGCAGGACAGGAGAATCTGGCTTTTCTCTAGGGGCAACTTCTGTATCCTCAGCTGGCACTTGCAGTATCTGCAAAGTTCTTCCAACTCTTAGAAATGCTAGATGAGGCTGTGGAACACTGTGAAGTGCTTTGTTGTCACAAATCAAAGCTACTGTGCCCATGATGCTAACTATTGTTTGCATGTTCGACTCTTGAGCAGATGCTTAAGAAAACATTTAGGACATATTGTAATTTATGGAGTCTCACCAAAGCCAGTGAAGCGGTGTCATCTGAACTTCTTTATGATGTGGTTTCTCTATTTGCCAGAGCAACTCCACTTGCAGTGGTGATAAAGATGCTGGTTATTATTGTTTAAGCCCTAAATGGGTCAGGTGAAGAAGTGGTATTCAGTTGACTTTAATCAAATCTTATGGAAAGAAAAGTAAATAAAAAAACAGAAAAAGAGAGAGGACATTCTATAACTTTATAAAGATCATACCTTCTAGCAAAATGAATGAATTCTGCAAGATTATTTGATATGGGTTTCAAACTATTGGTGGTTATTAAAAAGGGATATTTTTCTGGCAAATCTATTGACATTATAAATATGATCTCTCAGACTGCAATCCACCTCAAGGATTTTTATCTTTCCTGGCTCAGTGAATACTGTGCAGTTAAGTTGAGATTTCACCTGCAAAGGTGTGACTGGTAGAATTTCCTCTGAGTTCCATAATTCAGAATGAATTTCTTACTCTTTACTCTAAAATTGAACCATAATAGAGAGCTAGCTTGTTCTCATTAAGATTAAATTGCAAGTTCTACCTCCGCTATCAAACAAGATCTGACAAGCAAAGTTTCCGATTTGTGGATGTTTCTATTTACTGTATATTCAAGCAAACATGAATTGAAGTTTGGTTGGATATTACTCCACTAGCAGAGAGGAGTGGAAATTAAGCAGGCAAGGAAACAGATGTGCAGAGGGACAAGGGCGGGAATGTACCTTAACATCCATTTACCTTTTTAACCTTCATGAACCTGGGCTAAATGTTTGCAGAAGACTGATAATGATGAGCATCAAATCAAATAATGATGGGCAGCCTCATTCTAGTGTTATACTGTATTACAAATAATACTTCCTTATTAATTTTCTGTGGTTGATTATTGATTTTCTGTGGTTGATTCTCCCACTTGGCATCCTAGTACAGTACTTCAGCTCCCATGACCCTTGACCATTGGAGAGAAATGCATTCATAGCATGAAGTGTGAGATTTAAAGAGGGGGAAGGAATGTCAATTACATGAATTCAAACCACCACACGGAAGAAAACTCTGATCTATGTTTTTGTAGCACAAGTGATGAGTCCTAGGAGTAACAAGAACAGTTTTTTCTTTACAGTTCAAGAGTTAACTAGGTTCATGCTTCACACAGTTCAGATCAGGGTTTTCAGCCATCTTTGCTAGAAAAATCTAAAAGGGTACTAGATAGCAACAAAGATATAGAAAACTCTTGATTATTTGATGAAGGAATTGGGATTTTAAAAAAACTCAGATATGGTAACTGTCAGGTTTCCAAGTGATGAAATCCATTTAAAAAGAAAACCAAAGTCCATCTTCCAAAACAAATTCTTTTATTTAGGAAAACATTAAATTGGCAAAGTCCATGGTAATTCTGGATCCGACACAACCCGGAATTACCCCACAATATTAAAAGTTAAAAACAACCCCCCAAAGTCACATTCTCCAATAGAAGTAATTCAACGTTGCTTAATGTCATAAATCTCCACCTCAAGGGGGCCTAAGCACAGACAGTTCAGTTCCCACGGGAAGGAGAATCACCTAGCCAAAACAACTCTATCCCCACTTCTCCCCACTTAGGAATGTGGCAAGCCCTAACCCTTCCCCCCATGACTGCCACAGAGAAAGATATATTATGCCTAACTAAAACGGCTACACATATGTCAATTTCGGGCTTGACAGTAACCCAATGAAGCCACAACACTCTCCATCCTGAATTAGCCCACATGATAGTCATTTAGCATAGCCACATTTGGGGGAAATGATTCAGATCAGCATTCTGAATGATAGAGGAACTCATATTTATATGTCTTTGTTTTCTTCATCTCTTTGTCTTAGATACTAAGTCCCTGTGGGATAATATTGTTTATCAAGCTGCCACACAAACACTGTCTTGGGAATCTGCCTGTCCTGTTCATGTTACTGTCAGCCTTTGTCAACTGATGAAGATTAATGATCAGTGTGTTGATCTAGAGGGTACTGTCAACATTGCTGCAGAGAAAGTAAGTAATAATAAAAAAAGAAAATGTTCACTTTATAAGAGGCAGGGTTATTGCCCAGATCTTTTCACACTATTGGCTGTCATGAATGTTTCTTAGATGCATGAAACTTCATTTAGTTCAACTGAATCATTGTAGCCAGATTTATTAAACCATATTTTATACTCCTCAGGTTTCTATAATGAAGCCTTGTAGAGTGCTCAACAGCCCATGCAAATAAAAACAGAAGACCATTTATGCCTTTTTTCCCCTGATATTTGACTCACTTATAAAGGCCAAAAATGCACATTCCAATCCAACTTTCTCCAAGCTGAAAGGGGAGGAAAAGTGGGTTGCTCTAGGTTGTAAATACAGTACATTCCCTTTGACATATCTCCCACTTTTCTAAAATTTAAATCACACAGATGTCCTATTGTAAACATAGAAGACACTGCTTCATATTCTTTGACATGCATATGGAGCAACATCTGAATCAAGACACACTTATATCCAATGCTAATCCTCTTTCACAAAACTGGCACTAATGAGAGCAATTGCCAAAGATTTTGAATTAGTGTGAACTGCATGCAGACATAGATTTATAATGTAGATGCTTATCTGCACACATCAATAATAGAGAAGGTTTTCACAACTACATAATAGACTCTTTGTACAGTTAACTAACCATGTTTATTATGAGTTTTGGAGTGGGTGAGTCAAGACAGAGGGTATATGGATCTCTGGAATCCATTGATTTTCATTCGGTTGATTTTTTAAAATGACAACTGCATGGTAATGAAAGAACTATCACACACTATTAAGAGCACAAAGTAACCCCAAACATTTTCCTCCTCCATCACTTTTTAAAAAGGTATCAGATGTTCACAAGAATTCTAGCTCTCCACAAATACTCCTACTTCATATCAATGCTTCGTAAAGACCTGTTTGACTATATGGAAACATGTATTTCTTGAGTTTGAAGAGGAAGTTCATTTTGGCTTGCCTCATCATGTTGCAGAAATAAAAAGGCTATTTTTTGCAGCAATTCTGGGCTCTCCAACTCATGCTTCCTCTTATATCAATGCCAGAAATAGGATAATATATAAGGGCTTTCAAGGAAGTAATGAGACAGAGAAGTCCATTCTATGCATGAATGTGCATCATTTAAAAAAAGGGAATACACCCCCATCCCACTACGTGAATAGTTAGCAAAATAAATAAAACACTTCTCCTTTATATCCAGTAACTTTTAAAATATCTTACAGGGAAATCAAGAAAAGCAGAGTTCCATTTTTGACTAGTATTTATTTCATTATGGGCTCCATTGGCAAGCTCATTGTAAAGTTCGTACCCAATAGAATCCATACTGCAATAATTATGCATTCCTAGTCAATGAAGGATATTTTTTATACCTTTTTGGTGCATAAATGATATAACAAATGTCTTTTATTTCAAATTTCAACCACTTATCATAAAAAAGTTCCCAATGGGCAAAGGGACTAATTAATAGTGTTATGGTCTATTTTTGGGGTGCTTACTCATTTGAGCTTTTATTTTATTTATTAAACAGATTTATATGACCAGCAAAACCACACATAATGATTCTAGGTGGTATATAACAATAAAACATGACTATTCAATCCTACCCCTGGTTCCTTCTCCCTCATAGCAGAAACAAACACAGTCAAACAACTCACTTGATCAGCTCCATATCAATCTGGGGCCCATAAGATTATTGACAGAACCATGTCTTTGGAGTCTTACTGAAACGTAACAAGGTGGGGGCGAATCTTATTGCTGGGGGAATAAGAGAGGGAGCTACTACAAAGGAGGCCTTTTCTCTTAGTTCCACCAGATTTATTTCCTTAATAGATGAGATGTTCAAGAGTCTCTGTCTTCCTATTCTAGTGACAGTAGAAGTAACTGGAGAGAAGTGATTCTTCAAATAATCTGACCGCAAACCATATAGAACTTTAAAAAGCTCTAAAGTTTTGATTTGAGCCAACTAAAATTTCTGGATACTCTTTAAGAGCATCCCCATGTAGAACATGTTACAACAGTTGAAATAGAAATTGACTATGGCATGGGTGACTGTTACTCAAACAGGTTATGAATGGTCTTCTGTTAAGGATGCCATAATTTCCTCTGTCAGGAAAGCTCTGTCAGAAATTGAATCATGATGACAGGCTTATTGTCAAGCAAGGTATGGGGTTATTATGTAGATTTTTCAAAGCCAATTAAGAACCAAAACCAAAATGTATTTAACAGTGAATTCAACAAGGTCAAGAACTTCCTTTTTCTAGAGGCAAGTCTAAAGGGCTAACCACCCCTTTTCTAGATGAAATTGACTCTAATATACAGCATCCCACTGCTCGTTGTTAATACTCTTTTGAGATAGTCCCATCCCTTTCTTAGCCCCAGAGATTTCTTTTACAATTCCTGCTCTTAGCAGAGATTAGATCAGTCAGCCTTCATTACAAGAATCTAACATTCTTGTCCAAGTACAGAATAGTTTTAATGTACAGGGAGGAGTTAGTTATGAAGACAAATGCAGTTATGGAGACAAATAGGGTCAGTGGAGGTTGATTTCCCCCCTTTTTTACTCCAATTACATTCATTGTACATGATATATCATTAAAATTTCATAGAATGTTCTTGTTTGGCTGCTTTTCTTTTCAGGATTGGCTAACAATCTAATAATCTTTTCTCAATCAGGTGAAATATTCCCGAGTTGATACACATCCAAGCCTTTGCATCAAGGTATATAAAGGTCCAATTGTCATGTCTAAGTGAGAGGTTATGACCCTTATTCTGGTTTATGGCCTCAATACAGATTTGATTTGATTTGACAGTAATGACCTTTTCTAGTGATATGTCTTTTTGAAGCAAATGTCAGTTTCAGAAGAGGGTGGAAAGGAATTTTACAGCTCCTTCCCATCCTTTGCCAGTCCATTTCAATAGCTAATGCTGCTTGAACTGTACAAAAGTACATGATAAATGTAAAATGAACCATCTATATGTTGACCTTAAATATCATCACCTTTCAGAGACAATTTGGAAGAAAGAAGCAGGACTAATAATGTCAACTCTTTTGTTGGACCAGATTGCTAATTGTAGATACAAAATTATGATGGAAAGAGGTATCCAACAGTATGGTCTGGATCGCCTATGGTTGCAAACAGTGATTGATTTATTGAATAAACCACAGTTGGTTCACACAATACATTAATCTGTAAGCCATAGCTTTAAAGGGCAATGGCTAATTTATATCAAATTCATACTACTCAAATAATTTTGAATAATTTTGGCATAGCATGATTGATAAATCCAGCTCATGTTGTCAAAAAGCTATAGATATGGTAATGAATTGACATGCAGTAGATCATAAATTAGAATATGATGGAAATTATAAATTATTGTTACAAATCCATTATTCCCACTATCCTTCATTAAAATATCAAGGAAGAGTTTCAGAGTTTAATTCTATGGACATTTGTTTAAAAGTTTAACTGATTGGTTTTAGTGGGCTTACTATTTAGGATGCAGTCATAGCTGCTCTATTATTTGTTTGGTCTTATTAACCCTATAAGCAACATTGTCATTCTGCCCGAGAGGAGAATTTCTCCAGAGCATTCAGTATATTGCTTCAGTTTATTGCAATAGAAAATTCAAGCTGGATAACACAAATTAAATGTTAATTTCTTTTAAACCCTTTTTAGTTTGCAGCTGAGCACAATGTCTGGGTTAAATGCCCATTCAATCATGGACACTTTCAAGGTAAAATATCAATTGTAATGTAATTCTTTTCTTACATTCACAATAGATTAAATGATTAACAATAATAAAGCATATAGAAATAGTTTGGTCAATGCCTATCATAACATGTAATTGATTTCATTATTATCATTTAAACTTGAAGAGTTTTAAGGAAGGTGTGTATGTATCTTTTGGTTTGTGATATTTTTGTGATAGAATGTTGTCTGGATTCCCAGGAGGAAGGGAGTGCATTTCAGAGGAGCAAGAGACAACACAGTTTAGAGTGTGGGAGAAAGAAAGCGAAGACAGGTCCTCCCTCATAGTTCCCACAGTATATGTTTTATGGTACAAATGTCTTTCATGGCTTTGGAACATAGCGATTTTTCTTCATATGCGGTGTGTGTAGTGTTTATTTCTTTAGAATAAATCAAACATTTCCTAAGCTATAGGGATGCTCATTAAAATACAACTTTTGACTTCTGGGTCATCATCTACTAATTATATTAGCTTCTGGCTTTCTTCATGTTCCAATAAAATTTCTATATAGAATTTCTATCACCAAAACTGTAGTAAAATATTAAGTGTATTTCAATCAATTCAGTAAAATCTTAATTTCAATGAAAAGAAGTTTAATATGTGTTTATGAATCCCTTGACCCTTTCTGTCTTTTTTTTTAAGATAGGATGTCCTTATAAGGGCTCATCCATTGCCAACATAAAAAAGCAGAACAAACAGTTAATTTAATTGATAGATTTTCAAATAGAATGTTCCTCATATAAGGAATACTTTAATACAAATAGCTTTTCATGATTAAAATTATAAACACAGATCCACTGAAAGAATAGGGATCACTTAATAGGCATTTAAAACCCTACCTACTTATCTGCTAATTCTGTATACTAAATAGTTGAAGGAGATATCTAGAAACTGCAGGTGAGTGTCACCCCCAAAGATCATCTCATCTATATGACATCAGAGTTATTTGTAAAAGATTGATTCATATACATCTCTGTTCCATAAGCTCTCTCCAAAAACCAATTACGATTCAGTTTTTCATTCTAATGGAAATCATCTGTACATTGACTATTTCAGACCGGTGCTGATTGTCTATTAGTCATTCAGGTCAAGCTGGAATCTGCAATTTAGGCAGGTTTAGATTAATATTTTCCAGGAACTCCCTTATTCCTTTCACATGTTCAGTATATTTAAATATGAGTATAAATTACTAATTAAGACTTGTGAGTTTAACTTAATCCGGGGTGACATTTTAAAGTGCGTGAAAGCACGACATCCCTGCTACAATCTTTGTAGCAGGGCGAGTATTTGTTGAAAACTTGGTTAAGGTTTTCCAGTTTTATTCTGATTGTTTGTTTAGTATGCTCCAGAAGGAATGAACTTTGATATTTTTTCCCCAATAGCTTTCTTAGGATCACATGGCCGTTTTACAGAATTCTGTAAAATGCCAAGTTATACATTTTACAGAATATAGAATAACCGAGTTGGAAGGGATGTTGGAGATCTTTCTTGTCCAACCTCCTTCTCAAGCAGAAGACCCTATATCATTTCAAACAAGTAGTTGTTCAATCTCTTCTTAAAAGCCTCTAGTGATGGAGCACCCACAACTTCTGAATGTTCTCATTGGCTGTTCTCATTGGTTAATTGTTCTCACTGTGAGCAAATTTCTCCTTAGTTCTAAGTTGCTTATCTTCTTGATTAAGTTTCCATCCATTGTTTGTTGTCTTGCCTTCTGGTGCTTTGGAAAATAGATTGACCCCCTCTTCTTTCTGGCAGCCTCAAATATTGGAACACTGCTATCATTTTACCCCTAGTTCTTCTTCTAGACTAGACATACCCAATTCCTGCAACCAAAATGGTTGCTAACAGGTTTGAATTAAACTGAATTGATGAAAGTGGAAGGTTTTGAATGCAGATTTTAGAAGTAGAATAAGACTCCTGGAACGGAGGATGCCTTTGGAGCTCACTTCAAAATTCCTTCATGGAATATGATTCCACCATAATACTATAAAAATGTAAAAATATTATGACTGTATGAAACATGTTTTGAAAAGAATGTTTACTATAATGTTATGAGAATGCATTTTGTTATCATTTGTAAGCATCAGAATGGAATAAACATCCACTGTGGTGTAGATATTGGTGAGTTAGACTAATTCAAGGAAACCGAGGTTCAACTGGAAATTCAGTGGATGATCTGGTCTGATTACTCTTTCTAAGCTCAATCAATCAGTATAATAATAAGGTTAATTATGTTAACTGAAATATTATTAATCCAGTTAGGATTACATACCATTTTGATGGGTTTCTTTCCGAGGTGGTATTCAGCAGGTTCTGACTGGAGAACCAGTAGTGGAAATTTTGAGTAGTTTGGAATACCACCTCTGACTGGCCCTGCCCCCATCTATTCTCTGCCTCCCAAGTCCCAGCTGATCGGCTGGGTCTTCTTCTGTCGCCCTGTACAGGAGAACGGAGATGGAAAGCAGATTAGTGGGGTGGGGAGGGAATATGGATTTTACAGTATCCTTCCCCTGGAGTGAGGTAGGAATGGAGATTTTACAGTATCCTTCCCCTGCCATGCCCACCAAGCCATTCCACGTCCCCCAAGCCACGCCCACAGAACTGGTAGTAAAAAAATTTGAATCCTACCACTGGTTTCTTTCTGTTTTCAGCTTGGAAAATGCAACTTGCTGTGATGGGACAACAAAGAGAAGTTTCTTTCACACCACATTTTGAAGCAGAGTTTTCAGTACTCATATGTAACAGGACCAACCTGCACTCATGCAACTCTACTGGAATCCCCAAAGCCCTTTCATTGGTTAGTGCAACTTTTTCATGTTTCAAAGGTGCTTAAGGAAATCCAACATGAAGGAAATAGGCCTGCCAAATTCATTTCACAGTTAAAATCACTAAGATGTAGAGTTGTAATTGCAGGAATGTCTTTATCTTTGATGGCAAACCTCAAGAGGAAAGAATGGTTCCAAGCAAATACAACTCAGGCAAATAAAGTTACTCATCTAAAGGAGGATTAGAGAGAGGAAGTAAACATATGTTGGACTTTGACTAGAGATCATTAATTGCGTTAGTTACTTCGCTGAACAATAACGAAAGTCAAGCAGAAACCAAAGTTAACCAATGTTAGAGGATTACTAAAAATGTGTATAAATGCAAGACTAGATTCCAATAAAGATCAGCATGAATCAGTTGATCATGATCAAACACCTTGACTGCCTCGTCATTACAAGACTAAGAAGCATGCAATGCATGAGGAACATCTATGTTAGAAAGGGCTATATATCTATATGCCCACTTACCATGGTCATAATCATTCACACATATGAACATAAGTTCTTAATGCTGCAGTATGTTTAAAGCATAGTGAACAACTACATGCGGCTGGACTGTAGCTATGATGGAATGTAGTGAGGAAGTAGAATCCTAGGAGGGAGGTGATGTACTACATAAGTGTAAGAGGCAACACAGCCCCTTCCTAATAGTTCACAGCAGAGGTGATATTCAGCAGGTTCTGACCAATTCTGGAGAACTAGTGGCAGAATTTTTAAGTAGTTCAGAGAACCGGCAAAAATTATCTCTGACTGGAGATTTTAACTTCCCCTGCCACGCCCACCAAGCCATGCCCACAGAACCAGTAGTAAAAATTTTTGAATCCCACCACTGGTTCACAGCATATATTGTGGATGCAGATAGTAGAGCTGTCAGTCTGGCAATATTGTGTGTCTTTATGTGTGAAACAATAAACACTCAGCTCAGAAGAATCATCACATGACATGGTCTGGGTTAGGGTTAGGGTTAGAGTTAGAATTAGGGTCAGTAGGCAAGGGATTTACTCTTTAGACATACATTTTAAAAAAATCCTAAAATGTTTTTTAGAGCTATGCTGGGAAATGAAGATTCGAAGACAAAGTTCCCATACTGATTTTTACATGTCCCCTCCTTCCAAATTTTCTCATAGTAATTTCACAGTCAGCAATTGTGGCTGACCTAAAAACTTATTTCTTAGAGTTGAGGGAATTTTATTTTATTTTTTTAAAAAAACAATCATATTTTTCTTTCAATGCTTCCAGAGATTATTACATCTGGATTTTCAGTGTACAACGCAATATTGTATAATGAATATGCAATATTGTATAGTTTTAAAATGAAATATTTATTAAAGGATTGACTGCCAAACTCTTAAGTCCAGACTGATTTGAATAAATTGGAAATCCCCTCCTTGCTTTTATATCAGAGACCAAGCAGAGAGAGAGTATTATTTTTAGGGATTTGGGGGTGGGGTGGATGTCAACATAATTGTAAGTCAATAGTTTCTTTGGGGCAGTATGTAGAGTATACTGTATTTTCTCTCTCTGTCTCCCTCCCTTCCTCTCTTTATTTCATATCTTGGAAATCAATGTGTCTACTGACTGGCATCTATGTTTTGTATGATATAAACAAAGGGCAATTTCAGAAATTCCAATATGATTTTCAGAGTTTGAGAAAATAAGACATATTCCCATGTATCCCCAAATGTTAAACCAATAAACAAGCATCATCAGATGACTACCACAGCATAGCAAGTGACTTGATGAACATGTCAGGAGTATAATAGAGGAAAGCTATTATGTTTTGTGAAACCACAGAATGAGTGACAGGCAACAGTTCAAAAAGATTATACGGCTTTATTTTCTTGAAGTTAACTTGGTTCTGACTTGTATTTTTCAGGATGGATTAAGTTTACCATCTGTCAACATTTCAGGGAAACCATGTGGCTCAAATGTCTGCATTAAGGTATATATTTTGATATTAAGCTCTCTTACTGATTTGCATGCAATTAACAACTAAAAGTGTGTGTGTGTGTGTGTGTGTGTGTGTGTGATAAAAAATCACAACATCTCACCTTAAAATACAATGACATTAACAATCTGGGAAGTGATCCAACATTTTAAATTATGCAAAGCCACTGGCTGACAGAGATCATATTTTCAAAATTTTCTCAGAAGATGATCTGGATTCAGTCCCTGCTTTATTTGGAAGTGAAATTCCTAAGATGTGGAGAAAGCAGAGCCCAAATAGCTGCCAATAAAGATGAGAAGTAGGAGCAGCATCAGAGCTGTGCAGGATGGGAAAAGCCTTTGTACCCTGAGGACCATGAACTGAGGGCAATCACAGCATAAGTAGCAACAAATCCAGCAGCAGACCAGTTTCTTGCATTTTTAATGGCCAACTGAGGCCAAGAGCATGCACATAAAGCAGTACTAATAAACACACCTCTATAAATCAACCAGCTAAATGCAAACATTAGGAGCAGTAATTTACTTTCCAGGCAGGATTTCTTCCTCCTACTTTTAGGTTTGGGGTATATAATCTAGTGGCCGAAGCATCCATATTGTCAGTGTGTATTTTGCTGCCTTGGAGCATAGCTCATCCTGCACGATCTTGCACCATTATTCTTGAGTGTGTATAGGTAGGGATCCTGAAAGTGGAGTTGTAAGTGGAGTCACTCAAATGCCTTTTAATTTGCTAAGCTTTGGTGTTTCCAATTTTCTGGCACATTTCTGTTCAACTAGGAGCACCAGGAAGCCTTTCAAGTGATCTTCTGATGTGGTATTTTGCTTCAAAGTATTCTTTATAAGTTCAGGTTTATTATTTCTCTGCAGCTATCATTGTCACAAGTAAAAAAAAAAAAAAGCAGAGAGGTATTGCTGATGCACTTTTCTCTCTAAAGAATTTTGACCGCTTCCATTTGGTTGATTATCTTTATTTTTTAAAAAACAACGACAGATTTCAGCAGTGAGTTGAATGAGAATAATTGCTCTGGAAATGGGTTTGATAAGCCTTTTGTTTGATCAGAAGTTCTCCACACAGATCAACATAAGGCTTAATGATAACTTTGCTGCCAGCTAGTGCAATCACCGGGATTGTTGCAGTGCAGAAATCGAGTAGCCTTTGAGCCAATCACTCTTTCTTAGCCCTTGGAAGGAGGCAAGGGCAAGATAATTTTGAAAATGCTGTCAAAAAAACTTCAGGGGCAGTCACCAGCAGTCAGGAATGACATGACGACGCAAATATACTGCATAGACCCAATGAGAAGATATTCTTTCTATGCACTCTCTGAACTTCTTTCAAAATAGGTAAATCCTATCTTGAGAACAGCATTCTCAACCATGGTAGTTTGAAAACGTGTGGGCTTCAGCTCCAAGAATTGAGGGCATGGCTGGCTGGGGACATCTGAGAATTGAAATCCACATATCTTTAAGCTGCCAAGGTTGAGAAATAGTATCTTAGAAACTGTGCTGGCCAACCTGAATCTTTTTGAAGTAATTCCTATGATATCTCTCTCAGAGTCGTTGCCTCATTATTCATGCTCACAAAATGCTGTTCTTTTTTAATAAGGGAGAATGTTTGTAGATCAGGATTGAAATGAGGGGTTAAGGTCCTTGGTGCTCTCTGACCTTGGTTGTGTTGTTGAAGAAGTTTCATCACCCAAATTAAGAAACAATTTTTAAAAATCTTCCCTCATTTTGTACTTTATCTATGCTAAAAAAAACAACCCTGAGAATATATGCACTTGGATTTTACTGCATGTTGTCTCTCATGATTATTCAGGAAAATGTTTTCTTTTCTTTTCTTTTTTTCTAAACAAGGGATGGAGGACAGATGTGGACTATTCTGTTTCTTCATACATCTGTGATTTACCCTGCAGTAAGTTTCAATAGAAAAAAAGGCTACTTCATATGTGATAAGGCAAAACATCCAAGGGTTCCTAACATAGGTGATTTGGGAAGCTGGCACACTACTAAGTGCTTCTCAACTTTGTCAATTTTAAGACATCTACTCTCAGAATCGCCCAGCCCCAACCCCATGGCTGGTTGAAGAATTTTAGGAGTTAAAGTCCACACATCTTAAAGTGACCAAATCTGGAGAGTTAGAGTTTTCAACCAGTTGTGGTGGGCAGTTGATGTACTTTGGCCTTTGTCAAGACTATTTGCCTCTTGAATATGAAAGGTTGTTCTGAGGACCCCATGAAGATGTCCCAATGAAGTGAAAACCTTTAACAAATACATATGGACTGTTGAGGTTGCCATCCTGGTGATAACTGCAAGAAGATAATATGCAGCTACCAAGATTACAGTCATGGTGGCCATGGGAGGACAAACTAAGAGAAGATATTGACTTAACAAATAAAACCTCCAGACATGTAGATAAAATCTGACAATGAATGTGATGGCAGGCTAAAGATGAGAACTAGTTTGGTGTAGTGGTTAAGGCATCAAACTAAGATAGCCTGAGTTCTACTCCCACTTTAGGCATAAAGCTACATGTGTGACTTTAAGCCAGTCATTCTCTAAGCCCTAATAAGGAAGCAATGGCAAGCCAGTTTTGAAATCTTGCCAGGAAAAATACAGGATAGTGAAGGCAGTCATCAGTAGGCAATGCAGACTCAAAGGTACCAAAAAAAAAAAGGAAAAAAAGGTAAGGATTCTCAAGATGATTATCTATGAGATTCAGAGATGTCTGCCTTGAAAATAGCCTATGGTGAAGTACAGTATATAGTATGGTCAAATATGAGGTGTGGAAATGACCACAGGAAATACTTTATGGCATTTTATATTACATCATAAAATGTCTTACAATAATTTAATGTTATAAAATGTTTTATAAAATTTGCCAAATTTCAGTTCCGTGGGAGTCAAAGCTGCTGTATTTTAGATGCACTCTGTAATAAGTTAATCCATTTGAGATACTGTACCTTAGTTCAAAAATTCTTGCCCTATGGTGCACCCACCGTTTTGCACAGTTAAAGGTTATAGACAAATAGAAGAATTGTAATAGTATGTAGATGAAGCACAGTACTTACAGATTTCTCATTGTTCAACAAATTGTACTGAGGGCAAAGGATACAACAGTATTTTGGGAGCGTGGAGGAGCTTTGATAGCTGTGTTTGGCCCAAGAATTATATTCTTATTCTCTGTCCATTCTTGTTCTAATAAATTAGGAAACAAAGATTCTTTTGCATATTTTCAAAGAAAGAGGAATGGAAGCAAACAAATTATAAGAAACATGGATATAGAATTCCTAAAATATAGAATTCCTTGTGTGTATCTCATGTATTTCACCCTTTCTCCCACTCCCAACAATTGAAAATTGGGGTGTTTCATTACTTGAATTTCCAGCAAACTATCCACTGGGAGGCTTTCCATATTAGTGGGGTCATGTGGGTTCATGATGAAAGCAACACTCCTGTGATATTTGGAGTAGGTCAACATCCATTCCACTTTGCTGTCTGAGCATGATGATTAATGGTAAATAACCATAAATCCCTGTTAATTCATTTACACGGTGCTTTTGTTATGAAGCCTGTCAGTTTTTTCTTCATAATGATTTGGCTTTGAGTAGAAGAACTATCAAAATTTAATAAAAGAAAATAATAAGGCCTACTTATTCTTAGATGAGCATCTAAGATACTATTTTGTTTAATTCCAGACTCTTCTACTGGGACTCAAGAATATTATGAATATTCCTTAAGCATCCTCTCTCTCATAGCATTTCTTGCCATATTTCTAATCATGTTGGCTCTCCTTGGACACAAACTTTTGTCAGGTACTGATTTATGCAGCAGAAAAGTCAACGATTTTGTTGTAACTATAGAACATTAGTTTTAATTGATCAATTTTAATTAATCAACACTGGCTTGGAAGTTTATAAGAAGTACTAACACACAATCAGCCAAAGGCTTGTTATCTTAGCTTTGTATTTTCACAATAACATTCAAAATTTGCATAGGGAAAATGTACAAGAGGTTGTTTTTTTTAATGATAGCTTTTACAATTCCATCATGTCAATTTTTCTTTGAATATTATACTGAATGCTCAGGGCATTTTTTACTCATTTGCAGAAAGCTTAGTACAGTTGGAATTATTCCCTTTTCAAAGCACCCTTTGTTATTATTTTGCATGTAGTGAAATCTATTTTTATATGAAATTTTATTGAGATCCAGTGGCAGTAATAATAAAATATTGCCTATGAAGAGGAAATAGAAAGCAAGGATTGTGGGTACCAAATCTTCCAGTAATGAATTCATAATTACATTATCTTCATTAATTTAATTAATTTTTAATGTTGAATTTTAACTTTCTTTGCCTCATTTAAATTTTATATATAGTTTTAATATTTTAATATTTTACTTATGCACCTCCCAGAGTCCCTTTGCAATGAAAATAAGCACCTATATTTTTATAAATAAATAAACAAACAACCAGGGACAATATCTAAAGCAGGCGTGTCAAACTGGTGACCCACGGGTCAAATTGACAACACGATGCGGGCAAGTTTGACACCTGTGGTCTAAAGCATCCTTTGTCAAGCATCATGTTCAGTGTGAGCTCTGAAGTCAAATAGTTTATGTCCAGCCAATGCTGTCTGGGTAAAACCTGCAAAAGAAGCAAATCAGTACAATTTCTCCTCACACACACACTTTTTTTTTTTTGGGGGGGGACCCTTTTAGAAAACGTATTCTAGAAGTGTGGTAGGTTTCCCATTAGCAGCACACCCCTCAGGGCAGGTAGAATCCATTCCAAAATATCCATTTCTTATCAATGGATATGGTTGCTTTCCATTGCCACCTTGAGCACCCCGGTATGCTACTTACTCTCTTTATTTTCTTTTTCCAGGAGGTACTGCATTCCCAAAATCTTTTCTATGAATGCTTTTGGGTATTATATGAGACCCAGAGACAAGAATTGCTAAGGCATTTTTAGATACGCAGTTCATGTCGTAGTTGGTGCTGCGTTTTAACAATGTGACTACAACCCATAAAAATAAATTTAAAAAAAAAACACTAAAAGCAAATTGTCTGGGGTATGCCAAATACCCAAAATGTCCATAAGAAATTCTATATGTACTTATTGACTTTTGGATTACAAGTTCAGGCCACCACATGACTGCAATTATCTCTAAATCTCTTTCAAGAGAGAGATTGATCCTTTCTGGCTTCAGCAGTAAACGTTAATATTTGCATGAAATTGCCAGTTTTGTTTACATAATAGATTTGGATTTTATACTTGACACTTACAGAAGGCCAATATTCTGTAAGTCCATCTTCCTCAGTTTGATACTTTCCAACTAGTTTGAACTTCCTATAATTGTGCCCTACAGAAGTTGCCACATTCATTGGAAAATATAATGTTGGTTCTAGAATTCCAGTGATAAAGATTGATAGTATTTTACTTCCCTTTCACACTTGAATGCATCAGTAGATATGTTAATATGCCCTGCTGTAATTCCATTATCTGATATTTCTCCTAAAAAGCTAGATTTCTCTCTGTGGCTTTCCTGTATATGCTTTCCATTTCTGAGTAAGAGGTGTACAAACAAAATCAATGTGTGAGACATTTGTAGCCTCTTCAGGACACAGTAGGTTTTGTGAAACAACTCTCATATTGTCTAAGTAAGACTGTCCATTCTAATATCCAACTATAAAAAGCCTTCCAATTATAGTGTCCTGGTGGATTTCTATGTCTGATGATTATTTGGGAAATTAAAAAGTCATAATATGAACTTATTGGCTGATTCACACATACGTGTCATATTGTCATGCTTCCCATAAGTTACCTAGTGATTAATTGATCATGTAACCTGTACTGAATTGCAATGTTCATACTTTTGTTAAAAAACATTGAGCAGTAGTTTGTAATCTTGTTTATATTATTTGATCTTAATACTGATATTACGATAATTGTATGGTCAAAATGCAGAGGTGGTATTCAGCAGGTTCTGATCAGTTCTGGAGAACCGGTAGCAGACATTTTGAGTAGTTCAGAGAACCGTTAGTGGAAATTTTGAGTAGTTTGGAGAACTGGCAAACACCACCCATGACTGGCTGCTCTCCCATCTATTTGCTGAACTATAAAATCTCCATTCCCTCCACACCCCACTAACCTGCTTTCCAGCTCCCTACTCCTGTGAGGACAACAACAACAACAACAAAAAAAGACCCAGCCAATCAGCTGGGACTCTGGAGGCAGAGAATAGATGGGGGTGGGGCCAATCAGAGGTGGTATTTGCCAGTTCTCTGAACTACTCAAAATTTCTGCTACCGGTTCTTCAGAACTAGTCAGAACCTTCTGAACACCACCTCTAGTTCTCATTTAATATGTTCAGCATGTTTCAGATGGTCCACCAGTTTCCCAGTGGTTGGGAGATCCTAGTTCTAAAGATTATGTGACATAAAGAGCCACATCAGTGAAGAACAGAATTAACGGATAACATTTTTTTCTCAGTTAATTCTAGGAAGACTCATGAAGAGAAAAGTGTATTACACATGATAACACACAGGTAAGCATGTGTTTTTGTATAGTTCTTTGACATTTTGAAGAATCTTTGCTCTAAAATGCAAGTAATTATTTTACAGTCAGTTTGTCATGAATTCTTAAAATTGGGGATAAATATTACAGTTGTTTTAATATCAGTAAAATAAAAGGTACTGAATTATAGCTAATGTATGAATATAATTAAAAATGTCAGAGGACATTCCATAGCTATGAAGCATATTTTTACAAATACATTTATAAAGTTCTAATATTGAGAGAAGAAATGTTCTTCTGTTAGAATTTCTGATTTCACTAAAATTACAATTATTCCTGTATGAAATAATGTAAAGCTTCTATTTACTTTTAGGTAACCCAGTTCTGGAGAAAGATATGAAGTATATACCTCATGCTTCTGCCTTGGTAAAATTTCATGTAAAGAAACTGTATTTGGGTTGAGACTATTTAAGTTGGTTTAGGACATAAATAATTGGTAGTTTAAATAAATTTATAGCTTGTCATTTATTATTTAATTTTAGTGATGTTTGGGAATGAGATGTAAATCCTCTCACTCTCTGAATTGTTAAATCATCACATATTACTCTAGATAATTGCTGTAATCTTTTACCTAGAATGTCAACTAGAACTCACAGTCTCCTGGTGTCTAGCCTGATGCCTTAAACCAAGGCTGTCAAACTCCCAGCCAGTGGGCTGGATGTGTTCTGCACTGGCCACACCCAATTTAGTGAAGGGGAAAAAAAGTCCCGATAAGTCACATGACACCACCATGATGACATGAGTTTGACACCCTTGCCTTAAACCATTAGACCACACTAGCTATCTCAACTCAAAGATTTAGATCACAACCCTTAATCTTTACATGACTTTCATGCATAATTGGTTGCCTACAATAATTTCAGCCAACCTTTGTTTTTAGAAAAATCAAAGTAGTCGCAAGGAGCCAAAAGTGACTTGATGACACATAATTAAGTTTTGCATTTACACTTATCTGCGTAACCTAAAATTTGCTTGTTAGCAGACCTTAGCACACAAAAATAACTGAGTCCAGAATGCTAATTAGTTTATAGAATCTGACCATTTATTCCAGAGTATTTCCATACCAGAGATTCATCATATTTTAACCTGTCACCCAGCCATCCCTGTAGTGCTGTTTCACTAATAGAGATGGGTTTTATATGACCATAGCGATGGCTGATACTGTAAGGTGCTATAAATTACTGTGTCTTGAAACATTTTCATCTGTATTTAATTGGTTTGAAATGGCAAGCAGCCGGAGAGCTCTTAAAGCAGCATAAAATATATCATAGAGAGGTCCAATTTGGCCAGGTAAAAGGAATTAAAATCCTGCTGTTATATATGTTTATCATTAACTGCAATTATGTACATTATTACTCAACAGTTTCCCATTAAGAGAATTGGTATTTCCATGGATTCGTCTGATTGCCAATTTAGAAACATTTTATATACTGTACCTAGAAATCTAGTAACTACAGGGAGGATGCATTAATGCCTTTCCTATTTATTTTGGGATGATTTGTTTTTATTTATATATGTGTGTGTGTGTGTACATATATACATACATATAACATTAAAAATAAATAAATAATAACATACATATACATATGCATATACATATATATTGAATAGGGATATATATCTGACATATTTTAATAGCAGGCGGTTCCCATTTGGCAAATTTATAGAAAAGGTATGCCCCTTTTATCAATAGAATCAGTAGCTTCTACTTCTTTTGTGACAGACTATATTTAAACTGTTTTCTACTTATATATTTTGCCTACGTATGCCAATGAAAAATGATACATTTCCTGCTTTGCAAGCAAAAATTTATTACCTATTGCCTAATGATATAAATTACAGCTACTTCAGCCTGCCAATATTTGCAGAACAAGCTCTTTATAGGAATATATGAGCTAGTGAAACAGATTGGTAGCCTTAGAGACTGATAGAAGTGCAAATGCATAATTGCACTTTTCAAATTGCAGATATTTCAAGAGTCTTGTGTCTCATTTTCTGTTTTCCTCAGGATGAAATAGCACCATTTGTTTTATGTATGAAGAAAAGCAGACAACTTAGCAGGATGTTGTCACTTCCTCCGTCTTAAAGTAATTGAAAGATTTCTCTACTGTAAATGGTTTACATGTGTAAATAATCCTCTTGTGTGCCAGAGGTCTTCCTTGACTTCAGAAACAGGAATAAATTTTTGTGAAGCAAATTCCTTACCCTGTGCTCTATTGTCTCCCTTCCTGAAATAATTTGATAACAAAGCTTCTTTTTGTAGACAGTTTGACTTTCTCCTAAATCAATGATGGTGTCCTTTATATTTGTGGAACAAAGCCACGCACAAACCAACACAAGAGGAGGGATTGGAACCTGGACATTTCATACATAATTGACAGTTTTGTTCTCACCCTCTTGATGACCAATTTCATGAAAATAAATCATGACGATAATACTATAAGTGTAGTTCATGGCATTTTAAAGCACTACTGTATCATATAGGATGGATCTATGATAAAATATGCCCTGTAATGTAAAAAAAGAGATCACTGATCTCTATGGTTCTTTCATGTTTTATATACCTTTCCCTTAAAAGTACTGCTATGGATAGAAACCTAGCCCTTAAACATGAACTGGCATGTGACACAATGTTTTCAGTGTTTAAAGTTCTGGGCACACTTTAGACAGAACTGAGTTCTATTGAATTCTGTGGGACATGTGTCTTATTTTAGTTGTTATGTACAGGTTCTGAAAGAGCCTGTTACTGATTAGTGGGCTGCTCCTGTGAACTGTCCATCATCTGCTTCCTAGAATCTAAACTAGCTTTGTCAGACCATTTCAGTGTTCAGTGGCATTAGGGTAGCATCTTTTCAGACTAACAAATATTCTGGAAAAGCATTAACGTCTGTGAGAACAGCTCACTTAATCAGATTACATGAAGTTTATGCCTCTTGATGTTTTGTTAGTAGGAAAAGGTGCTACCAAACTCCCAATTTTGGGGTACCATAGTGTTTCTCAACCTTGGATGCATGGATTTCAACTCCCCAAATTCCCCAATCACAATGCAAGCTGGGGAATTTTGGGAGTTGAAGTCCATGTACATCTTAAAATTGCACAGATTGAGAAACACTGCCGTAGATTAACGTGGGTCTTCTCTTAAAGATCCACAGGAATGCTCCAATTACTACAGTATATGACTTCTTTTCCCTCCAGCAGTCCTCTTAAAACCTTTTCACCCTAGTCTACATCAAAATCTAAATGAGGGAAGGGAGTGTGAGGAAAAGGTAAGGAAACTAAGGGAGGAATATAATAAAAAAGCAGTGGCTTATTGAGTACCTTAATAAGGTGGAGTTTGATTATATGGTATATCTCCAGCTGAGCTACCCTGGCCTAAGCTAAGCTTATGAATGGGCTATGTTAACTAATCATATGTGGTTTTTCTTCCAAATAAAACCTTTGGCTAGGATTTGATCTTTAGGATTTTAAATTATTGCAGTAAATAAACACAAAAAAATGTGTTTATCTTTCTGAGAAAACTGTATTATTGGTATTGGCCACAAGGAGATATTTGGGCCATGTATAAATAACTTTGTAAAGTATTTAATATTTAACAGAAATCCAAAGGACATGTGGAAACATTATTTTATGTTCCCAAATGGGTAGCTGTAGTAGTGTTTTGCAGCAAAAGAGACAGCAAGAACATGTGTTCTTTCGTGTCAATGTTTTATATATTACTGTCAATATTTATACTTGCAAAGGAAAATAATAAAATACTCTGAACTCTACAAATGTCAAAAGTTTGTCATCTATTTCTCCTACTGTCATACAGTCTTCATTTCTCGTGAAAAATGAGTAAAGTTAATAGGCATGAAAATTATGCTGTCTAGACTCTAAACCATGTGGGATTACTTGATTTACACATGCAATGGTTTCCACAGCCCCACATCTTCCCAAATGGGAGACATAGCGAAGACTATAAAAAGCCCGGTGGTAGAGACACTTTTTCCATCTGTTGATTAATTTGTCTTAGGTTTTCAGAAGGCACATTTCATAGAAATGTGAAAATACAAGCCATGTTGAAACAAGGGAGTGTTCCTTCTGAGACATTTGTCACCCCCACATTCTTTCTGTGAAGTCAGCTGCTGCTTTTTTGACCATTGTCTAGTTTGCTGGGGTATAATTATAGTTTCATAATCGTTTCAGACTTGGTTGCTCCTTTGCCACTTTCAGAAAAAAAAAATAGAGACATATGAACCATACATCGAACATTTCCTCAGTACACGTGGTGCTTCTGGTTTCATTCTAATTAGGTTACTAATTTGTATGGCTTTTACTCATAATTGTATGAATAAGCCTGAGATTTTGGTCTGGGGAAAAAAGAACTTCTTGAAACTGAAGTGGGGAATTACATAATTATTCATTATCAGAAAGCTTCATAACATTGGAATGGATCTATGTTAAAAAGCTGCAAAACAGGATTTGTTTTTGTTGAGAATTTGTAACAAAACTAAATGGCTATAATCATGTTTCAATTTTCTGGTGGAATCGAAGAAAGTGCAAATAGTCCATCTTATTTTCAAATGTCCTGGCCATCTTTTGTTTTGTTTATCAACATTAAAGAAATAGTGACTGCTATGTTCACGTGCCCCTGAAATCGTGTGACATGGAAAACTAATTTCATAATCACTTAAACACATGACTTCTCTCTCAATACACATGAAATAATCTTTCACAATTTGGATCTGTGCAAAGTCTGTTCCTAAGAAGTGTGATTTCAAGTCTGTCCTATGACATGTTTCACACAGCTGGGAAGCAGACGTGTAATTTCCAAGCATGGGTTTTGGAAACAAAACCACTGTTGAACGTGCAACAATAACAACTTCCTTCAGATTTTGTCCCAGAATTCAACTGTTATATCTTATTGGGAAAATCCAAAACAACAAAAAATTAATCACATGAAACAGAATCAATGCAATTTAACTGAAACACTTTTTTGTTATGAATCCTCCAAAGACCATAATAATCCATGCAGATAAAGTTGGTATAAAGGCTCACGTACTCAGTCATGCCTCAGTTGTAGAAATGATTTAGTCACACAACACAGTCATGCTGAAATCCTCCAGTTTTTTAAAAAAAGATCTTGTAGGGCTTGTGGAATTGAGAGGCAGAGGAGGAAATAAGAGCTGTTTTGGGAAGTGTCATTGTCAGATACATTTATACTATAGCCTGAGGTTGATTCCTTATGATATTACTACCTGCTCATACCTGTTCATTTGCTAAGGTGTTATCTCCTTTTGAGTGGATATTTCCAAGCAAGGAATGAAAGAACCCGGAAGGAAAAGAAACATCTTCACATTTTATTACATTCTTTCTGGAGATGGTGCAGAATAAAAGGCACAGGAATTAATAATGACAGTTAAAAGAAAGGGGTTGGGAAACTTGAGAAAACTCTCTAAATGGAAATGTTTCCATTAATCTAGAATTTGCAGGTCAGAGACCAAAGAAGGTGAACAACCAAGAGAGATATCAGGAGTTCAATAAAACTTAAAAAATATTTACTAAGAAGTTGCTTTTAAACACTTCTGATATCAAGAGGGCACGACTGGAATCAGCCAGATGAGTCCTAATGGTAAGAGAGAGTCATGTTCTGGAACTCAACTCACAAGGAAGCTAACAGTAACAGAATTGGAGGAGACCTTGGAGGTCATCTAGTCCAACCACCTGTTCTTCCAGGAGACCTATGCTATTTCTGATAAACAACTACCCAGTCTTTACCTAAAAGCCTACAGTGATGAGGCACTCACAACTTCTGCAGGCAAGTCATTCCACTGGTTAATTGTTCCCATTGCTAGGAATTTCCTACTTGGTTTTAGATTGCTTCTCTTCTTGATTAGTTTCCATCCCTGGTTCCTTGTCCAGCCCCCTGCTTTGGTAAATAAGTTGGCCACCTCTTCCTTGTGGCAGCCCTTCAAGTATTGGAAGACTTGCTGTCATGTCATCCCCGGTTCTTCTTTTTATTAGACTAGGAGGTATACCGACTTCTTGCAATTGTTCTTCATACATTTTTAGCTTCTAGGCCCCTAATCATTTTTGTAGCTCTTCTCTGAACTCTTTCCAAAACCTCAACATCTTTTTTTTTTATTGGGGTGACCAAAACTGGTTGCAGTATTTTAAGTGTGGTTTACTAAGGCTTTGTAGAGTGGAACTTCATGTGATCTTGATTTTATCCCTCTGTTAATGCAACCTAGGATTGCATTGGCTTTTTTGGCTGCTGCCACACACTGTTGGCTCAGGTTTAGATGGTTGTCTGCTAAGACTTCTAGGTTTTCTACTAGGATGTTTAGATGGTTGTCTGCTAAGACTAGGTAGGAAAAGGGCATATCTTATAGCTCTATTCCCCATTACCTCACCCTTTGGAATTTTTACTCAGTTCAGGGACAGTTAGCAAGGGGGAAATTAATATTTGTATTTACTTTCATTGGAGAGGAAGATGAAGAGATCTCAAGAGAACAAGCACCCATTGGGGAATACACATTGAAAAGAATGCCTTGGCAGTGTTCCGCCCTACTTAGGAATAAAAAAACAAACAAACGAGTTGGGGTTTTAATTGACTAAGACCACAGCAATTTCAGATAGCAGCACAAGGCAGCAGAGGTGCTAATCAAGGTTGCTGAGCTGAGCTAACTTGCTGCTAGCACCTTTCAGGGAAGTGAAGCCTACCTATCAAAGAAAAGCAATTTAGGAGGAAATAGCTTGTCCAGGCAAACTCTTTCCTCTGTAAGGGAGAAAATCCTGGGAAAGGCGAAAGGAAGAAGAAAATACAAAAAAAAATATAAGTTAGACAATCAAGCACAGGACAGGCAGATAGTTTTCACGTATTGTAAAAAAAAGAGGACACGTCACCAGAAACCAACAGGACAACCAATTGGCATAGCTATAAATATAGCTTTCAGTACTGTAAACATACAATGCAGCTCCCCATATGAGGTAACCAGGAACCAGATGACCAGTGAACTTGATTTTGCTACTGTTAAGGTTTAACTAGACACAGGCTAGGACCGAATTGTCAACACTAAAGTAAAACAAATAATCATCCCTTCCTACCTATCAATGATTACTTCAGCTTCAACCGCAACAATACACAAGCACACAATAGATACAAACTCAAGGTAAACTGCACCAATTGCAGGAAATACAACTTC